AGGTGGATGGGGGGGGGGGTCCCTGACCTTCTCCCCCCACTTCACCCCCCCACCCCCCCCTTTCCAGACGACGTCTCGGTCCTGCTCCAGGAGATCATCACCGAGGCCCGAAACCTCAGCAACGCCGAGATGTGAGTGGGGGGTGACCCCCAAAATTGGGGATGGGGGTAGGGAGGGGGGGACAATGACACACCTGGGGACCCCCCCACCCCGTGCCGTGGGTGCCATGGGGGGTGGTGACCTCTCTTGCAGATGCTCCGTGTTCCTGCTGGACCGGCTCAGCCACGAGCTGGTGGCCAAGGTGTTCGATGGTGGCGTGGTGGACGATGAGGTGAGCATGGGGACGAGGGGGCCTGAATTTGGGGTTTTTTGGGGGGTGGGGGGTGGTGCGTGTCACACCCTGGTGACACATCTCCACCCCGACCTCCCTCCTTGATGGCAGAGCTACGAGATCCGCATCCCAGCCGACCAGGGCATCGCTGGCCACGTGGCCACCACCGGCAAGATCTTGAACATCAAGGACGCCTACTCCCACCCGCTCTTCTACCGGGGGGTGGACGACAGCACCGGCTTCCGCACCCGCAACATCCTCTGCTTCCCCATCAAGAACGAGAGCCAGGGTGAGGGGACACCGGGTTGTCACCCGCCACCCGTGGCCACGGTGTGTGTCCCCTCCACCGCCAAAACGTGGAGGTGGCACCCAGGTCCCCAAAACTGGTGTCCTTCCATCAGCTGCGCAAGGGCATCGTGGTGTCCCCTCGGCACGTGGGCATGATGGTGCTCCTGGTGCTTGGGGATCATCCTGTCCCCAGCAGATGGGCACCCTTCTGGCCCCACACATGGGCACAGCCCTGTCCCCACATGGGCACCATCTTGTCCCCAGATCTGGGCACCTCCTGTCCCCACATGGGCACCATCCTGTCCCCAGCAGATAGGAACCATCCTGTCCCCACATGGGCACCATCCTGTCCCCAACATATGGGCACAGCCCTGTCTCCACATGGGCACAGCGGTGTCCCCCAACATCTGGGCACCATCCAGGCACCATTCTGTCCCCACCACATGGGCACAGCCCTGTCCCCACATGGGCACCATCCTGTCCCCAACACGTGGGCACAGCCCTGTCCCCACATGGGCACCATCCTGTCCCCAACACACAGACACAGCCCTGTCCCCACATGGGCACCATCCTGTCCCCAATATATGGGTACAGCTCTGTCCCCATGTGGGCACCCTCCTGTCCCCAGAACGTGGCCACGATCCTGTCCCCCACTACATGGGCACAGTGGTGTCCCCCCCAATGTGGGCACCATCCTGTCCCCAATACATGGGCACAGCCCTATCCCCACATGGGCACCATCTTGTCCCCAGCATCCAGGCACCATCCTGTTCCCAAATGGGCACCATCCTGTTCCCAACACATGGGCACAGCCCTGTCCCCATGTGGGCACCATCCTGTCCCCAGTATTCGGGCACCATCCTGTCCCCAACACATGGGCACAGCCCTGTCCCCAACCACATGGGCACCATCCTGCCCCCCACTACATGGGCACAGTGGTGTCCCCCACCATCTGGGCACCCTTCTGTCCCCAACACACGGGCACAGCCCTGTCCCCACATGGGCACAGCGGTGTCCCCCACCATCTGGGCACCATCCTGTCCCCAACACATGGGCACAGCCTTGTCTCCACATGGGCACAGTGGTGTCCCCCAACATCTGGGCACCATCCAGGCACCTTTCTGTCCCCAACACATGGGGACAGCCCTGTCCCCACATGGGCACCATCCTGTCCCCACATGGGCACCATCCTGTCCTCAGCATCTGGGCACCATCCTGTCCCTAACACGTGGGCACAGCCCTGTCCCCATGTGGGCACCGTCTTGGCCCCACACATGGGCACAGACCTGTCCCCACATGGGCACCATCCTGTCCCCAGCATCCAGGCACCATCCTGTTCCCAGATCTGGGCATCATCCTGTCCCCAACATCTGGGCACCATCTTGTCCCCATGTGGGCACCGTCCTGTCCCCACGTGGGCACCATCCTGTCCCCAGCATCCAGGCACCATCTTGTCCCCAGCATCTGGGCACCATCCTGTCCCCCACTACATGGGCACAGTGGTGTCCCCCACCATCTGGGCACCCTTCTGTCCCCAACACATGGGCACCATCCTGTCCCCCACTACATGGGCACAGCGGTGTCCCCCACCATCTGGGCACCCTCCTGTCCCCAACACATGGGCATAGCCCTGTCCCCACATGGGCACCATCCTGTCCCTAGCATCCAGGCACCATCTTGTCCCCAACACATGGGCACGATCCTGTTCCCACCATCTGGGCACCATCCTGTCCCCCAACATACGGGCACAGCCCTGTCTCCACATGGGCACAGCGGTGTCCCCCAACATCTGGGCACCATCCAGGTATATGGGTACAGCTCTGTCCCCATGTGGGCACCCTCCTGTCCCCAGAACGTGGCCACGATCCTGTCCCCCACTACATGGGCACAGTGGTGTCCCCCCCAATGTGGGCACCATCCTGTCCCCAACACACAGACACAGCCCTGTCCCCACATGGGCACCATCCTGTCCCCAGCAGATAGGAACCATCCTGTCCCCACATGGGCACCATCCTGTCCCCAACAGATAGGAACCATCCTGTCCCCACATGGGCACCATCCTGTCCCCAACACACAGACACAGCCCTGTCCCCACATGGGCACCATCCTGTCCCCAGCAGATAGGAACCATCCTGTCCCCACATGGGCACCATCCTGTCCCCAACAGATAGGAACCATCCTGTCCCCACATGGGCACCATCCTGTCCCCAACATATGGGCACAGCCCTGTCTCCACATGGGCACAGCGGTGTCCCCCAACATCTGGGCACCATCCAGGCACCATTCTGTCCCCACCACATGGGCACAGCCCTGTCCCCACATGGGCACCATCCTGTCCCCAGAACGTGGCCATGATCTTGTCCCCCACTACATGGGCACAGTGGTGTCCCCCACAATGTGGGCACCATCCTGTCCCCAATACATGGGCACAGCCCTATCCCCACATGGGCACCATCCTGTCCCCAGAACGTGGCCATGATCTTGTCCCCCACTACATGGGCACAGTGGTGTCCCCCACAATGTGGGCACCATCCTGTCCCCAGTATTCGGGCACCATCCTGTCCCCAACACATGGGCACAGCCCTGTCCCCAACCACATGGGCACCATCCTGCCCCCCACTACATGGGCACAGTGGTGTCCCCCACCATCTGGGCACCCTTCTGTCCCCAACACACGGGCACAGCCCTGTCCCCACATGGGCACAGCGGTGTCCCCCACCATCTGGGCACCATCCTGTCCCCAACACATGGGCACAGCCTTGTCTCCACATGGGCACAGTGGTGTCCCCCAACATCTGGGCACCATCCAGGCACCTTTCTGTCCCCAACACATGGGGACAGCCCTGTCCCCACATGGGCACCATCCTGTCCCCACATGGGCACCATCCTGTCCTCAGCATCTGGGCACCATCCTGTCCCTAACACGTGGGCACAGCCCTGTCCCCATGTGGGCACCGTCTTGGCCCCACACATGGGCACAGACCTGTCCCCACATGGGCACAGCGGTGTCCCCCACCATCTGGGCACCCTTCTGTCCCCAACACACGGGCACAGCCCTGTCCCCACATGGGCACAGCGGTGTCCCCCACCATCTGGGCACCATCCTGTCCCCAACACATGGGCACAGCCTTGTCTCCACATGGGCACAGTGGTGTCCCCCAACATCTGGGCACCATCCAGGCACCTTTCTGTCCCCAACACATGGGGACAGCCCTCACACGGGCACATCCCTGTCCCCATGTGGGCACCATCCTGTTCCCAGATCTGGGCACCATCCTGTCCCCAATACATGGGCACCATCCTGTCCCCCACTACATGGGCACAGCGGTGTCCCCCACCATCTGGGCACCCTCCTGTCCCCAACACATGGGCATAGCCCTGTCCCCACATGGGCACCATCCTGTCCCCAGCATCCAGGCACCATCCTGTTCCCAGATCTGGGCATCATCCTGTCCCCAACATCTGGGCACCATCTTGTCCCCATGTGGGCACCGTCCTGTCCCCACGTGGGCACCATCCTGTCCCCATGTGGGCACCATCCTGTCTCCAGCATCCAGGCACCATCTTGTCCCCAGAACGTGGCCACGATCCTGTCCCCCACTACATGCACCATCTGGGCACCCTTCTGTCCCCAACACATGGGCACCATCCTGTCCCCCACTACATGGGCACAGCGGTGTCCCCCACCATCTGGGCACCCTCCTGTCCCCAACACATGGGCATAGCCCTGTCCCCACATGGGCACCATCCTGTCCCTAGCATCCAGGCACCATCTTGTCCCCAACACATGGGCACGATCCTGTTCCCACCATCTGGGCACCATCCTGTCCCCCAACATACGGGCACAGCCCTGTCTCCACATGGGGACAGCAGTGTCCCCCAACATCTGGGCACTGTCCGGGCACCATCCTGTCCCCAACACACAGCACAGCCCTGTCCCCACATGGGCACCATCCTGTCCCCAACACATGGGCATGATCCTGTCCCCACCATCTGGGCACCATCCTGTCCCCAAAACCTGTCCCCAATCCTGTCCCTGCCATATGGGGACGCTCCTGTCCCCAGCGCACGGGCCTGATCCTGCCCCCTGTCCCCCCTCTGCTCCCTCCCAGAGGTCATTGGGGTGGCGGAGCTGGTCAACAAGATCAACGGCCCCTGGTTCAGCAAGTTCGACGAGGACCTGGCCACCGCCTTCTCCATCTACTGCGGCATCAGCATCGCCCATGTATGTCCCCAGGGGGTCCCCAACCCTGGGAGGGGGACGAATGTGAGGGGGACCCCACTGCTTTGCCCCAGAGCTGGTCACAGCGCAGAGGGATGGGGGGACGTGTGTGTGTGGTCTCCGTTCCTTGGGGACAAGGGTGGTGGGGATGGGATGGGATGGGATGGGATGGGGCTGGGATGTAATAGGATGGGGATGCAGGTGGGGATGGGATGGGATGGGGATGGGATTGGGATTGGGATTGGGATTGGAATGGGGATGGGATGGGGATGTGATGAGGATGGGGTTGGGATTGGATGGGCTGGGGTGGAGGTGTCACCATCCTGTCCCCACATGGGCACCATCCTGTCCTCAGCATCCAGGCACCATCCTGTCCCCAAATGGGCACCATCCTGTCCCCAACATCTGGGCACAATCCTGTCCCTGCCATATGGGGACGCTCCTGTCCCCAGCACATGGTCCTGATCCTGCCCCCTGTCCCCCCTCTGCTCCCTCCCAGAGGTCATTGGGGTGGCGGAGCTGGTCAACAAGATCAACGGCCCCTGGTTCAGCAAGTTCGACGAGGACCTGGCCACCGCCTTCTCCATCTACTGCGGCATCAGCATCGCCCATGTATGTCCCCAGGGGGTCCCCAACCCTGGGAGGGGGACGAATGTGAGGGGGACCCCACTGCTTTGCCCCAGAGCTGGTCACAGCGCAGTGGGATGGGGGGACGTGTGTGTGTGGTCTCCGTTCCTTGGGGACAAGGGTGGTGGGGATGGGATGGGAACAGGCACCATCCTGTCCCCAAATGGGCACCATCCTGTCCCCAACATCTGGGCACAATCCTGTCCCTGCCATATGGGGACGCTCCTGTCCCCAGCACATGGTCCTGATCCTGCCCCCTGTCCCCCCTCTGCTCCCTCCCAGAGGTCATTGGGGTGGCGGAGCTGGTCAACAAGATCAACGGCCCCTGGTTCAGCAAGTTCGACGAGGACCTGGCCACCGCCTTCTCCATCTACTGCGGCATCAGCATCGCCCATGTATGTCCCCAGGGGGTCCCCAACCCTGGGAGGGGGACGAATGTGAGGGGGACCCCACTGCTTTGCCCCAGAGCTGGTCACAGCGCAGTGGGATGGGGGGACGTGTGTGTGTGGTCTCCGTTCCTTGGGGACAAGGGTGGTGGGGATGGGATGGGGATAGAGATGGAGATGGAGATGGGATGGGATGGGATGCCAAAGGGATGGGGAGGGGATGGGATGGGGATGGGATGAGATTGGGATTGGGATGGGGATGATGATGGGGACGGGATGAGATTGGGATGGGGATGGGATGGGATGGGAAGGGATGGGATGGGATGGGGATGGAGATGGAGATGGGATGGGATGGGATGCCAAAGGGATGGGGAGGGGATGGGATGGGGATGGGATGAGATTGGGATTGGGATGGGGATGATGATGGGGACGGGATGAGATTGGGATGGGGATGGGATGGGATGGGAAGGGATGGGATGGGATGGGGATGGAGATGGAGATGGGATGGGATGGGATGCCAAAGGGATGGGGAGGGGATGGGATGGGGATGGGATTGGGATGGGGATGGGGATGGAATTGGGATGGGGATGGGATGGGATTGAGATGGGGATGGGATGGGGATGTGATGAGGATAGGGGTGGGGTTGGGATGGGATGGAGATGGAGATGAGGATGGGATGAGGATGATGATGGGGATGGGTTGGGATTGGGATTGGAATGGGGATGGGGATGAGGATGGGATGAGGATGATGATGGGGATGGGTTGGGATTGGGATTGGAATGGGGATGGGGATGAGGATGGGATGAGGATGATGATGGGGATGGGATAGGATTGGGATGAGGATGATGATGGGGATGGGATTGGGATGAGGATGATGATGGGGATGGGATTGGGATGGGATGGAGATGAGGATGGGATGAGGATAATGATGGGGATGGGATGGGATT